TGTAAAGGGAGCAGAGTAAGCAAAGGCCTTTTTACCCAGCTCAGTACTGACACGTGGGACAGAAAGTTCTTGAATCTTAGTCGACTGCTGAGATCCTAAAATCACTTTTATTCACTTATTTATCAGAGCTTTCCAAACATTTGAACATTAGTGTAAAAATGTTTCTTCTTATATGAATTCATTTTACTGCCCTTCATTCCACTTAGGAATAAACTACATAGATTTTCCTTCAAAAATGGTTAATTTTTTAGACTTAAACTTTATTGTGATTTTGTACACACAGCGTGTAAACAAAAAGAAATTTTTTTCAGTACTTGCTCTTCAGATATTCCCGTCTCTTAAAGTGCAGCAGTGATAAAATGTAAACATGGTGATCAAATGTAAAGACAGAGATATGATTTACAGTTTTTCCAACATTCCGTTTTTTTTTCCTTCGTTTTATGCAACATTCATCAGTCTAATGGAGGTGGGGAAGAAGCTGTTGCAGAACCTGCTGGTCCTGCATCGAATGCTGTGAGGCCTCTTCCCAGAGGGCAGCAGGGAGAAAAGTCCATGTTGGGGGGGTGAGGGGTCATTGATGATGTCACTGGCTCGGGACACGCAGCGCTGGGATTAAATGTTTCTTTTATCGAGGGAAGAGGAGCCCCCATGATCCTCTCTGCTATTCTCACCTTCTTCCAGTCTGAGGCGCTGCAGCCTCCACAGCACACAGTGAGACAGCTGGTCAGAATGCTCTCTACGGTGCTTCTGTAGAAGGTGGGGAGGACTTTCCTCAGACACTTGATGCGCTTTTGTGCCCTTTTGACCAGTGAGCATTTTAACCATCAGTGAAGCATTTACTGTTAAATTCTTTAACTTCTGTGTTTTAAAATATATAAAAACTCTCATTTAGGACATTCATCTTTGCCTCTCTATCAGTATTAATATCCGTTATTAAGAGCTGTGTGGGTCCATGTCATACATACCAGAAACTGCCACTGATGAAAGTATATTTTCATTCTGAAAATACTCCAACCCCATTAAATGGTTGTTAAGAAAAAATATTTTTATGCAAGACGAAAACCTACATAAGAGTTTCAGTTTGAGTAAAACTGTCCTTCAATTAGTTTGTTTTAATATAATTTCATATATTACTCATTGTTCAGGACAATAATACAGTAAACAAATGAAAGGTAAATTTGCTGTAAATCGATAGTGCACCTTTAAACATCCCTGAGCTGAAGGTTTAGAATCAGCACATTATGTAACACTGATTGCTGATGAAGATGGTCAGGCATCCCCAACCTCGGTCCTGGAGGCCCGCTGTCCTGCAGGTTTTAGAGGTTTCCTTGCTCCAGCACAGCTGATTTGAATTGAAAGCTGATTAACAGGCTTTTGGTCTACTGCAATCATTATAATCAGCTGTGCTAAAGCAGGGGAACCTCTAAAAGCTGCAGGACAGAGGGCCTCGAGGAACGACTTTAGGGATGCCTGATCCAGGTCATAGTCATTCCGTAAAAGTGAAAAAACAAAACAAAACAAAAAACAATCCACTGGACTTGGTTTCCAAGATTTAAAGATGTTTCGCTTCCCCTCCAGGAAGCTTTCTCAATTCGAATGCCTGGATCCGCAGTGAGGTCATCATAGAGGAACAAAGTACCTCCTATCTCCAGCCGGTGAACAATACCTCCTTAACAACCGACCCTTAACAATCAGACAGGTTTCAGGTATCACAGGCTAACAATGGAACCAATTGAATTGAGAAAGCTTCCTGGAGGGGAAGCGAAACGTCTTCAAACTTTGGAAACCAAGTCAAGTGGATTTTTTTATTTTACTTTTACGGAAGGAGTAACACTGATTATTTACTGGCACCAGTAGATACGGTGCTTTTTCCCAGTTTGAGCAACACTTGCTTTGTTTACACCTAGTGGGACAACTGCAGTAATGTGATCTAAATGACCGTTTAATGTTTTTTTTTAGGCAGAGGTGTCAAAAATACTTCCTTATCTTCAAGTATAAATTATAGCCATCTATACTTTATTGGTATTAAGTATTATTTTATGCAATTTCTTACTTCTACTCCTTACATCTTTTTGCAATTATCTCTACTTTCTACTTCTTAGAATAGAAAGAATAGTTTAATTAGTTTGATTGCATGTAACTTTATTTTCATTATGGCCTGTTGGCATGGGCGGTTCTAGACGGTGGCCAACAGGGGCCGGTGCCTCAGTAAATCATGTCCTGGCCTCTGTTATGGCCCCTGTACTGAAGACATAATACTCAAAGAAATTCTAATGATGATATGCGCTGGAAGAGACATGGTTACTGATGGGTCCTTTGGATCTATTTCATTTTTTTTCTTTAAAAATTCTGTTTTACTAATTATCTAAAAACAAAGAGGTGATAGCTTCAGTGGTATTGAGATAGGATCCCAGTTTTCATCTGATAGTTTTTTTCCCCCAAAAAATATTTACTCTAATTTTTAGAGGTGAATTTATCAGTTTTTTCTTGAGTTCTAATTCAGATTTAACAGAAAACGGTAATTTTCACTTAAATTAAGTCAAACATATGTAAAATTCCGAAATTATGAACATATATTGACCTCAGAAGAAGATTAATTAAACCTAATTGAATAGAAATTTCACTTCATGCAGCTCTCTTAATACGTTTGAAACCCTTGCCCTGTTTTTTATTTCATGCTTTTCTGGGCCCCCAAGAAAACACTCTGGCCCCCTCCTGGCCCCCTGGTACATTTGTTCTAGAACCGCCACTGCCTGTTGGTATTTAAAAAAAATAAAACCCCTCAAAATAATTAGTTTCATCCAGACTATTTCTCTACTGCACCAACTAGTTGTCCGCCACATGCCAAAATAAAGTTTTTTAAAATGATGCAAAGTAAAATAAAACGCTGTTACTATTGGTTATAAAACTAAGATAAGCTTAACTATATTATCGTCCAGAATTGTAGAAAAATGATTCTGTAAACGGGTTGTGCAGTATAAGTTTTAAAGCATCTGTCTTTAACATTTCTTCCTGCGTTACTTTTAATTTACACTTTAATTGTAAAAATTGTACTTTTACTTAAATAAAACACTTACGTTGATACTCTAATGTCCAGAAAACTGTTTTTAAACAGTAGGATTTATATTTCTACCTGAATAATACTTTTGGGACCTCTGGATTTAGGAATATTCCCTCAACTATTACCGTAGCTAAAGTAAGATTATATTTTTCCTAGAAGCTCTAATTGTTTCATCAGTCAGAACTTTTAAGTACTTTATTTCAGGTTAAATTCTCTCCATTCTTCATCGTGTCGAGCTAATCCTGATGATGTGTAAGGCGAGCTTGCAGCCATGTTTTACCGGATTAATACCGGAATAATTAGCTGTAACTAAGGCTACATTCACACTGCAGGCAAATAAGACCAAATTTCACCACCTGATTATTTGTAAAGCCGCCACCTCTGCTTTGTAAGAGATTTGTGCTCCCCTAAAACCACTTTGTAGGTTTTAGATTGTGCCACACTTTTAGTGTTAAATGCTTTTAAATTTGCTTATAAAGAACTCAGTTTTTTTCATTTTTGTTCCTTAAAAACTGACAGAAAAAGTATTTTTTTTTGCTTTTGATTAAAAGTATGGCTAAAGCCATTCAAGGCAAATGATTATGCTAAAATATATTAGCGTGTTTCGTGAATGCTGCGAACTCCTTCAGTTCATGTTGGAAGTTAAAAGGAACCAGAATAAACAAGAAGACCTGGGTGTCAATAAAAAGGTTAAAAAAGAACCCACAGGAAAAAAATTGTGATTGTAGAAAAGCAGCAGGTTTATTAGAGGGGATGCGCTGGCTCAGTCATAACCTACAGGGAGTAGAAACGCTTTGAGGAGCCTAACAGCACAGTGAACTCAGTCTACCCTCCTCCCTCCTGTTTGATCACCTCGGGACGCGGAGCAGCTCAGGGTTCAACCAGCTGCAAGAAAAGAGGGAACGGGGAGGAGAAGGTTCTGGGTGAATGAACGTCACTGAAAAACCAGAACCAGAAAACATCTTTAATCTCAGTCCGTTACATTCAGGAAGGTTTCACTGTAAACGTTCACAGCTTTTTAACAAACAAAAGATACAGATCAGGAAGTCTGGGACGAGAAGAAGACAAACGACAGAAGGAAAGTTGGATCAGGGGGAAAATTAATGCAGCAAAAACATATTTACCAACATGAATCAGAGGATGAATTAAATTTTAATTTAAAGCATTTGTATTCTCATATAAGATATAAGATAATCCTTCACAGAAACCAATAAATGATGCCAAATATCTCACAACCCAAACTACAAGAGCGCTGAGCCTCAGCAGCAGGCCTCTAGAAAATAAAACTTAAAGAAATGAATGTAAAAAGTGATAAAGTGCTTCAAGTAACAACATTATCCCTCAAATTAGTTTTTATACCAAGAAATTAGAAAACAAAAAACAACAACAAAATGTTCAAGTCCTCTGCTGTTCAGCAGGGGGCGACTTCTATCTTCTATCAGAAGATCAGGACCTTCAAACAGTGTTCTACGGAAGAGGATTAGGGCCAGTGGGGCAAAAAAAAGTTAACTGATTTTTTAATTTTATTTCAGTTTAGGGTGGGAAAAAAGTCAGAATTCTGACTTTAATCTCAAAATTCTGACTTTGATCTCAGAATTGTGGATCTTAATGTAGATGGGCACCATGAAGGAAGAGATGTGGAGCACTCAGCTTCACTGACAAAGATGTGAGTCGTTTGAGGTGGCCAGTGACACATTGGTGGAAAATGATGGAATTAGGCAACTTTTTACGTGCCTGAGGGGTCCCCTCATTAATGGAGGAGAAGAAGGTCATTAAAACAAGAGAGCTAGTCTCTAAAACAGACATGGCTATGGCTTGATGCTAACATGTTTGTTAGCTGTCAGAATTCAGAGAAAAAAGTCAGAATGCAGAGATTAAAGTCAGAATTCTGAGAAAAAAAAAAATCAGAATTCAGAGAAAAAAAGTCAGATTTCTGATGTTTCTGTAGCCACATGGAAGACCAGGAGCCATGGTTTTAAATGCTCTCTGCTCCCACGGGTTGAAGTCAACAAGTTTCAGATCTAGACAGCAGGAATCCATCTGCCAAACATGGATGAACAAAGCTCTAAATTCTCCATATGAGCAAACAAATCTGAGGATTTTCCTAAAGCGCTCAGCCGAAGATCCCGATATTCTCTGGTGTTTGAGTTGCAGATCATCACCAGGATATTTTCTGATCATATTTAAAGTCCGTCTTAAATCCTGATGATTTACTTTTCATGGTTCAGATGCAGTCAGAAAACCAACCTCCGCAGCCAATAAAAACCCACCATCTGCTGGTTCTAGAGAACCTCTGCAGGGTCACATTAGGTTTACAGGAAAACTCTGCTTCTTCACTGAAAACAACATTCTGTCCTCTTCCCAGAAAAAGGTTCTTATTGATTTGGCTAATTAGGCCGACAGTAAAAGCTCCCTTTCTAATGCAGACGGGTCATCAGAGGGCGGCAACAGCAGATGGCAGATTGTTGCACTAATGGATAAACAAATGAGGGAGATTTGATTCGCTTCTTCAGGCACTGAGAAAGAAACGCAGCAGACAGAGGATTAGTTTCCTCCTCTGTAGGACAGATTCTAGATCTATAAAACCAGATCCCTCTACTGGTCAAAAGGTTAGTGGAGGAGAACACATTTGATTTACCAGCTGGATGTTCTGGTTTGGTAAAAAGCTCCAGAAACTGTTCAGCTCTGGTTTAAAAACCTAAATGTGTTGCTCCTTCCTGGTCTGAAAGTTCATATTGGATGAAATACAGCAGCTTTGGATCCAACATCCTTACTTTAGACATCCTGTTGCAGCTCGATAACTTTCATTACAGATTTGTTTCCTTTGTTAATCTGGTTCCAACTTCCTCATAAAGCAGCAGACGGATCAGGTTACCTTGTTTGAAGAAAGGTTTGGCTCACTAAGCAATCTAATGAAGCTGCCTAAGTGGTGGTTAAAATTAACGGGTTTATAAAGCAGAAACAGCATCAGTAGCAGATTTAATCCATTTCTGATTTCTGGTTTAATCTCTTCTCACATTTAAAGCAAAGAATGGTTTCATTTACCTTTTAGTTATTTGGGACACAGACAAATGAGTCAGGTTCCAAAATCTACTTTTAACATTTAGAAACGGCGAAACAAATTCAAATCAGCTGCAGTTTTTCAGAGCAGGTGAAGTTATAGGGGGAAAAAGAAGCTGGAATGGGACGAAAAAACAGGATCGTTTATAAGAAGAAAGCCTCGAGAGGAAAGGAGAAGGTTAAAGAAAAGCAGATGTGTCCAGAAACAAAAGGAGAATACTGAGGGAATGTTTCCTGAGGAGCGGTTTGCAGCGTTCAGTTCAGCTAAAGGTCAGAACTATTAAGCTAAACTTTTAATCTGTTATCACCACAGAAGCCACCCGCTTAGTAACAGCCCATCTTCTTGGACTCTGACACCTCAGGTCTGGTATATAAAGGAAAAAGAGGCAGCGGAGCAGGAAACAGGAAGGAGGAAGAGGTTTAGATGAAGAACACTTGGTCTTTACAAGCTTTGGCGCGAGCCGGGACTTCTGTGGCTGCGGAGAAGGCGGCGACGATGGAGGCGAAGACCACGTTGGGGCTCTGGGCGGCGTCGATGGCAGTGTGCAGGCCCCTGGCGCTGTAGTACTGCACCAGAGGGGACGTCTGCCGGTGGTAGGCGACCAAACGGGAGCGTAGCGTCTTCTCGTTGTCGTCGCTGCGGCGGATGAGCGGCTCGCCCGTCACCTGAGGTAAAGACAAAGCAGGAAGGAAGCCTCAGTTTGGGAACCATGGTTTGAGTCAGGCATGCAGCTGCTTGTTTCCGCTGTCGCCCGAGGAGGAAAACAAAAAGAAAGAGTAAGAAAATCTTTAATCAAATGAGTCAACAAACTGACATGTTCCAGCAGAAAAACCTAAAGATTTGAAAAAGGTTCCCAGGATAACTTTAACGACTTCAAATTAAAAACTCAGAAATAAAATCAAGGATGGTTTAAAATAAGGCTGAACTAATTAATCCGATTAATTGATTATTGAAACAGCATGTATACAAAATGAAATTAAAATGCATACAGCTTACAACAGTAGAACGGTTAAAATCTGTATTAAGCCACTGCCTGCGGGAGCCGCCATGTTGGATTGGATTTATTTTTGATTCATTGTTAACTGGAGGCTCTAAACTGTGTCTTTAGATGACAGAACGACCCACTTAAGAGCAGCATTTATACCAAAATTGATTTCAAGATAAATGAAAAGTTTGCGTCCGTCAATCTGCTCTATCCAGAACTAGTTTGACCTGGTTTAGTTTCATACCAAAATCTGCTTTGAGGAACATTTGGGAATCCGATTATTAACACAAAAAAATAATCGTTAGTTTCAGCCCAAGTTTAAACGAATCAGTCAACCTCTAAGACAAGAAGCGGAACACATTCCTTTTAAATTTGACCTCAGAGGCTTAAATCTGGCGAGTTCATTTCTTTTTTACTCTTAAAAGTCGCATAATTATTTTTTTTCCAAACGTCAACCACTTTCGGGATATTAGCCCATTTATCAACAGGACTCCTAAAGGTCAAAAGGTCAGGAAGGGAGCAGTTAACAGACAGATCCCAACATGCTGGAAGTAAACTCTCTCCTTCAGAGCTTTTCTTCCTGCTGCTCTTCTCCCTCTGATGGACACCTGACAGCCGCCCTTACAACCTGCCCCTCTACCCAGAAACAAAACAATGGGACGATACGCACACAGATACCATAGCCCTACTTCCTATGAAGCAGGGGCCACTAATTAAAAATCAGTTGGGATCCGAAAAAAGAGAATCAATCATTAAAGGTCCAGAGACATTTTTAATTATAATCAGTGATGGGAGTAACGGCTTTTTTTAAGCAATTACTTTGTAACTATAATGCAGTTACCATTGCAAACACCCCGGAGGATGAGAATGGCTGATGTAAAGTGAGATTCCGTCTGTCAGTTGGGTAGGTGGGTGTTTCTGCTGGTGGGTGTTAACGTACAGCACACACAGAGAGATGGAGAGTGAGGAGGACTCCAGCAGCAAAACTACGTTTTCCAGATGGAAATACCGGTGTTACGTCGAGCTGCGTTTTCCCATCACATACGGTTTCCCCTGCATCTCCGCACAGAGCAGATGGCACGATTCACCGCACATGCTCGCTAAAGGCGCGCAACAGTTGCCCTGTGCTCGCGCCACAGGGGAACTACGGAGAGCGTGAACGATCATTAGCCTATATGGAGAAAGGGAGAAATCTGGATGGATGGATGGATGTTGCAGTATCTATAACAACCCAAACACACAGGGTTTCAGAATTAAACATCCCCAGTTATTAATTTCATTCACTCACCAGATCTGAACGTCCTGTTAAAAAACTTCACACCCATTAGTAGAGGTAATGCAGCCTGATGATATTTACACCGCATCAGATACCGTTCCCCCATGTAAAGCAGGGGGAACGCTATCTTACGGGGTTAATAGACCCATCAGGTGGCGTTCCCCCCTGATGTCATTTACGTTGAGTTGCAATAAATGCTAAACTCTCTGCAGGTTCTTGTCTTTGTCGTCCGCTCTATTCAGCTGGCTTTGGAAACACACGGCGAGAAGGTGGGGGCCGGGTGGGGAGGGTTAGGGGGGCGAGAAACGCAAAAGTAACGCAATAGTTACTTTTACTAGTAACTAGTAACTTTTATGGTGGAGTAACTCAGTAACTCAGTAACTTTTTGGGAGAAGAAACTAGTTACTGTTACTAATTACTTTTTCAAAGTAACATGCCCAACACTGATTATAATCCATTACTTTGAACAGTTTTTAAGATTGAAATAAAATGCAGGTGTTTATGCATCCATGTTATACTTTGATTTAATAAAACAAAAAATAGAACGTTTTTCCGTTTTAAAATCTAAAGTGCTTTTCAAACAATCTTTCACAGTTCAGCATAAAGATGATTTCCAGACTTAAAGCTACAGTGTGTAACTTTTAGCGACATCTAGCGGTCACACTGCAGACTGCAGCAACATGAACATCTCCCCCCCACCGCTTCTCCCCCCCAACAGTACGGCGAGCGTTACGGGACAAAATGTCTTCCACGACGTCCGCATCACCTACCTTCTCAAGTGATGAGGTTTGTTTACATAGATAATTTTACAGATAGTATTTCATTAGTTTATGTGTTCAGTACCGTCTCAGTTCATCTCTCTCAACTTGCCGTAGTTACTTTCGAGCGTAATGGGCGATCTCGCAATCGCTAGTTTGTTGGCTCTGCGCTGCCGTAGCGCAAAGATGTCTGCCTCCATGGCTGCGAGACCCGCTCCTATGTAGTTATAAATAACGAATTCTAAGGCAACGCAAATATTAAGGTTAAGAGGCTGAGCTCGTAGATGATGATAAATAACATAGTTATGTATAATATATTACATTTCTGACTGTATATCCCTGTAATTATTACACACTGTAGCTTTAAGGTTTTATAAAACATCTAAAACTTCAGCTGATCCAAAATGCTGCAGCCAGAGTTCTAATGAAAATTAAAAAGAGAGATCATATCTCGCCTATCCTGGCTTCTCTTCATTGGCTTCCTGTTAAATCAAGAATAGAATTTAAAATCCTCCTTCTCACATATAAAGCCTTAAATGGCCAAGCTCCATCTTATATCAGAGATCTGATTGTTCCTTATGTTCCTAACAGAGCACTTCGCTCTCAATCTGTAGGTTTACTAGTGGTTCCTAGAATTTCTAAAAGTAGAATGGGAGGCAGATCTTTTAGTCATCAGGCTCCTCTCCTGTGGAACCAACTACCAGTTTTAGTCCGTGAGGCAGACACCCTGTCTACTTTTAAGGCTAGGCTTAAAACTTTCCTTTTTGATAAAGCTTATAGTTAGGGTGGCTCAGGTTATCCTGAGCTATCTCTATAGTTATGCTGCTATAGGCTTAGACTTTTGGAGGACATAGGGACCCCCATTTCATCATTCTGCTTCATTCTCTCTCTGTTCTCCTATTCTGCAGAATCTGTTAGTTCAATCTCTAACCTTCTGCTCTCTCTGCTTTTCCTCAGAGTAGCTTTGCCTCGTCTGTTCCTGTTTGGCTATGACGTCATCCTGGAAAGAAACATCAGCTGTGCTGCTTCCATCAACACCGTTGTTTATAGATGTTGGAGATCGGCCTGTTTTCCAGTGTAGTCCTGTTTCTCTGACCGTGACTGAGTGGATGTGCTCTCTTCGTCCTCTGGCATGGTAGCTGCCTTGGAGCTCGTCTGCCTGGCTGTGTGTTTCCTGGACGGGGCCGCCTTTTACAGCTGCTTTTTGTACCTCTGCTTCTGTCTCCTTGAACCCCAGTCGGCCTCGGCAGATGGCCGCTCACACTGAGCCTGGTTCTGCTGGAGGTTTCTTCCTGTTAAAAGGGAGTTTTTCCTCTCCACTGTCGCTACAAGCATGCTTAGTGTGAGGGATTGTATTTGAGTCAATGCAATCAACTGGTTTTCCTTAGATAGAAAACTTTGTATCAATTTGACTGTATGATCTGGTTGAACTGTAAAGTGCCTTGAGATGACATGTGTTGTGAATTTGGCGCTATATAAATAAACTGAATTGAATTGAATTAAAATGACCTTTTTTCCCCCCTATTTCAATTTTTTTGTCTTAATGAGAGAAGCGGGCTTTACGCTGCCCTATGAGGATTTTTAAACAAGGTGCTCATTCGTGAGCCTGGATCGACATTTATTTATTATATTGATGGTGGCGAATCCTGCTTTCATCAGTTCACTGCGCTTCTTGGGGCAGTCCACACTTTCTCTGCTCTCTCATCATCCTCCTTCTTTACCGTATTAACAGTAGAAGCAGCGCAAGTGAAATTGGATACTGCTGTCAGACAACTTGTTGTATTTTAGAAATATTTTAAACCAGGTGGGTCTAGATCTGGGCTGTGGTCTGCTAATCTGTGACCTCTGCTCTTAAGTTTTAAATATTAAGCTAATGAAGATGCAACATGAGCAAAAAAGAAAAGAAACCACAGAATGTTTTTTTGTGTGAACCAAACTGACCAATATAGACAAGTCTGATTCTTCAATCCGTTTAATTGTAGTTTTTGACTGGAGCGCATGATTATTTAAATACATTTTACAGCATTTTTTTTATGTTGGAATTTGATAGTAAGATTTAACATTTTTATTCCACCACATGAAAATACTGATAGTTAATCAGACTCAAAGAACAAAAGAAAAAACACTGCAAAATACTATTTTTGTTATATTTTTCTATGAAAAAAAGGGTGAACCGTTCAGTTACCGTATTTTCACAACTATAAGGCGCATATAAGCGTTTTTTTCCCCTCAAAATGTGTGGCGCGCCCTATGTGTGTTGTTACTGTGGACGTTTGAGACCACCATGAGATCGTTAAAGTGGGAAGTGTGGGAGTGGATTGTGTATAAGAGAACAGGTATGTACTTTATGCAGAACTCCTCATTGAGGCCTAGTGGTTAGGGCTTAGAACTTGGAACCCAGACGTTCCGAGTTCAAGCCCCACTCCCACAGACTGACACTCTGGGAAAGACCCTTAACCCCCAGACTGCTCCCTGGGTGCTGCACAATGGCAGCCCACTGCTCCCCAAAGGGATGGGTTAAATGCAGAGAGCTCATTCTATTGCTCTGTTTGTTCGACAGTGTAATGACAACACTGGAAAAAAAAAAGAAATAAAGACCATACTTAGTTATTATGATTTATTGATAACTTCTGTGCACATTTTTATAATTAGTTATATTATAAATAGTTAGAATATAGTTAAAAGTGGAGGGAGGACATGAAAGCTAACGGAACTAGCCCATGTGAATGAGTTGAACTAGTTGAACAGGTTTCAAGTCCAACGAAAAAGCAAAAATGACCTTCCTAGGTCAAATAAAATATGTCAAGGTTTAGTTCTGCATGAGGCAGACATGCTTTCCAACGGCAGCATTTATTTGAGAAGAGAAAGCGTTTCCCCAATGGACACTTCTGTCCACCTAGAAGGACAGAACAGTCCCCATGAACTGAAAGTGGGTCAGAGCTTTCAGGGAAGTCTTTACAGACGTGACAAACAAACACCGCATGTGAAAAAACCCCCCAACATGATGCAGGTCTGAAAGTGAAAACAGGTTAGTTACTGAAAAGCAGCAAAACTCTGACCCATTTCCAGCCTGAGAGTCATTTCAGGAGGATTACACAGACCGTCCTCTGAGTAGGCTGAGGATGAAACTACTTACGTCATCCTTCATGGGCTCTTTGGGGGGGTTGAACTCCTCGTGGTAGGAGCGGCCGCTGGGCTGGTGGATGAGTCTGAGGAGGAGAGAGGCGACAGAAACGGCGGTCAGGCAGGGCTGATGACTCACTACTTCTCTGTCCTTTCACATCCCACATCATGTCCTGGTAGGACCCAGGAGGCGGCGGCGTCCTCGTTAACGGGAGGACCCGCGCAGACAGATGACTGTGCTTTAACTGAGCTCCAGTTGGGACAGGTTTATGTGATTCAGAACAAACAACACATTTCACAACCCGCATCTTCCTCTGAAATGTCCGGAAGAAAAAAAAATGTTACAAAAGGAGGAAAGATGGAGACAGAAATGCAGACGCGGCGTCTTTCTCAACGTTTTCCAGGTGGGATCAGTTAAACCACAAAAAAACATCCTTCACAGAGTAGCTGGAAGCTTAAATTAGACACGGTTATGAAAATGATCTGGCCTAACACCAGCTGGCTGTGCTTCCCTCTCAGGCAGCGTCATTTACGGACACTTTCACATCTCAATGGGCCGATTCCTGCATCACTGATCTGAATAAAAACGGGCGTTTAGAAAAACAAACTGTCCTGGATGGGCTGAAGTATGAACCGTAATTCCAAATGTTTTTCAGATGAAGTCTCATCCAGTCTGTGTGACTCTGAACACCAACTGAATCAGTCAGAAACCTAAACTGTGTCGAGATAAATGAATCACAAAAAGACTTTTCTACCTTTCTAAAACATATTTTGAGACAGATTAACCATCTTTATTTCATGTTTCCTCTATTGGTTAAAAACGTCTACTTATCCACCAAAAAACTCCAGTCTTAACTTATTTTTTAATAGATTTGCTTACAATATTTTATAAAAATGTTTCATTGATCTGAGAGGGAAATAAAAGTAAACTGAAAAAGTTTAAAAGAGTTTGCATTTGTAAATGAAGGTTTTTTTTTTTTAATCTACTAAATTAATACTTTAACTACAATATTTCACTTCACATGTAGCATTAAAGCAAAAAGGACTTTTTAACAAATACAACTTGGTTATAATAGAATAGATAGAATAGATTTACTTTATCCCAAGCTGGGAAATTGTAGTGTAGCAGCAGCTTTACACATAGTGACAGTCACAACACAATAAGATAAAGAAAAAGTAAAAAAATCACACAACATCCACACGTATTTACATTATAAAAGTACAGTGAACAGTCCTAAGGTGCAGTGAACAAATTATAAATAATGTATTAAAACAGCCGTAGACAAAATATAGAGCTTTTCCTTGCCGCTGCAGGACTACGGTGCAAAACAGAAACCAGTATAACAAAAATTATATATTTAAAGATAAAAAATAAGCTTTTTATCTGCTTCCATTCATGGCGTCAGAGTCTGTGCCCAAAGTCGGTATTTGATGGAGTTTCCAGCACAGCTGATTTTCATTAATAGATGATTAACAGCAGGGTTCCTACAGCATAAGGAAAGTTAAATTCAAGACTTTTTAAGACTTTTTAATGCCACTTGAAATAAAAATTTAAGACCAAATTCACAAGAAAAACCTGCTTGCGACAACTTAACCCAAAGGTTTATTCTAACATAAACCACTGCACTAATGTTTCAAATTTAGAAAAGCTTCCCATACAGGAAGAAAGCTAAAAACACACAAATGACAGATATATTTTAACAATTATTTAACTGAATTCACAAACTTTGTTTTAGCAGGGAACAAAACAAATCAGTTTTAAAGCCACAACATAACCAGTGCTAAGTCTTTTTTGCAGCTTTTTTTCTTTGTATGGTTTTCTTAGTATGTTTGATTTGGTGATAAGTGGAGGCGTTGCAGAGACAAGGGTGGAACTAAACTGAGAAATACCGGCTGTTTCTCTGTAACTCCATTTTGACGCTTTGTGTTTCGCGCTTCGCATGTGCGACTCCACTGCCTTAATTCCCATCGTTCTGAGCTTGAATCGCTTCTTGCACTAAATCCACTGAGCCTCATGTATGTTCCCTGGTTTTAGTCATGGAGAAAACTCTTGGCTGGAGACAATTTTGGTTACATTTACACTTGCTCATATTTTCCAGACAAAAAGTAAATGGCGCATCTCCCAAATGTCCCGGCCGCAACAACGCTTTTATTGGTTCAGCTATCGGGACGGAACCAATAATGGCGAACCGTTTTTTATTTTAATGTTTTATTTAGATTACAAAAATAAATCATAATAAAAATAATCCTATTTATGATGCTTTAAAAAATAAGACCTAAGAAAGACTGATTTAAGACATTTTAATACCAATTAAGGCCTTAGTTTTATTTTGAAGAATTCAATGCCTTTTAAGACTATTTAAGGACCCGCGGGAACCCTGCCTGCTGTAGAGTGTTTAACGACATTAAGGGAAAAATGGCGGTCAGAATCAGAGCAAAACTATTACATCTGCATCACCTTCCTCACATGAAGGCAGCTTTTAGGAGCATTAGTGTCGTCTCAATCAGCTTCTATTTACAGAGTATGTGTTTAAAGACACATAAGTTGAATTAATTGAAGAAAGAAAACTTTCTGGGTTTTTCCCACAGTTCAGTTTCAGAAGTTGGAAACGACAACCAGGAAGTGAGCAGCTTTGGCACTCCAGCCTGTTTCGCAGGTTATCACTTCATTAAAGATTATTTGCAGGACGCTCCAGCACCTTCAGGCCATCTTCTGTTAATTGCATGATTTCACGCTCCACTTGGCTCCAACACTATCGCACCGTCCCAGGCGCTGCCGAATTAATCCACCGACCCGACTGGAGTTTAAGATGCAGATGGAATGAGGATCATCTGAAAAAATACTGTCATGACTAAACATCTTCTATCCAGATCCGATGCACGATGGTTTAATGGCTGATTGCTCAATAGAACACTGAGGTGGTTCTACTGGATACCAGATTTAGATCAGAGGGAAGCTGTGGGTCCAGGTATGATCCATCAAGAAAAGTTAAAATATTTAGGGTCAGGATCCCCCCTCTGTTACATATTTAACCCTCATCCATCAATCCCGTCTGCTGCATAATGAAGGTCGGGTCCCAGAGGGTCTGGTGATTAATGGCTGCTCTGATTAATGGACACAAAATCATGAAACATCCTGTGCAGGGCTGAGGACGTTTTCCAGGCATCACAAATCGATGAAAGATTAAAAAAAACAGAAGAAAACTTTAAGCACCTCCCACCACCTGGTCATCAGTTCATAAGGCGTTAAAACAAACTTCCAGAAAATGACCAAACCAGAGGGGATTTCTATCCCACTCAGAGTGTTTTGGGTCGATCTTTTCCAGTAACTCATTAGAGTTGCTTTGGTTTGGGAGGTTCTTTAAAACCTCTAAACACCACAGGAGAGTTTTAGAATGTAGATGGAGCAATAAATCAGAGCTCCGCCTCTAAGCTCAGCTGCTTCACCCAAACCAAACTTACAGGAACCTTTCAGAGGAACCAAACACTAGTAATAAATGTTAATAACCAGAACAGCTTACAGTTACAGGTCAGCGGAGGGGCCTGGTTTCATTCCAGTAGGGGATTTATCAGATCTGGACACATTCACTTTGCTTTTGTGTTTGAGTGATCATCTTTGCAGGGGAGGATCTTTGAGCTCCTTTCTACAGGACTCATTATTTGACTTTGGCCATTCAGTCTGGTGCTTCAGTGGGATTGATAGCAATGATGGTGAAGAAACCAAAAAGATTTCAAAAGGTCCTGATCCAATCATCATATTGAGGCTAACTCACCTAAAGTCTGAACATGATGGTTTGAAAAGTCGCTCATATTCAGAATTCAAACTCCTGAAAGTATTTTAAGTATGAGATTATTCCATCCTATTCAATAAATGATCAGTGTTTTTAATTCAGAGTAATTTTCATGTGAATGTGCTTTACTGGAGGCATCCATGTTTGTCAAAGAACACTACTGCCACCTACTGGTTAGTGACGTCACGGTGCGGTATCGGCTGTTGATCAAGTCCCAGTGCTGTATCTGGTGTTTGTCACAACGCGCCATTATCCAAGTCATCTTGAAAACATTCTTCTTCCAAATGTTGGCTACATATTACGGGTTTTTTCTCTGGCCAGAAGTTCGATGGCAAATCCTCCCTCTTCAAGTTGGCGATCTAACGACGAAAAACGACGGTAAAATAACTCTTTTTTTTCCACTTTTACCCGATGTATTCCAGCATCCAGCTGCCATGCACGTGGGCATTGTCAGTTTCACTATAGCTCTGGTGAATTTCAATGGTGAAGTCCTCTGGAAATCTTCAATAATTGTTGTTGATTGCAGATGTGTCTAGTAGTTCCCATTGATTTTGCTTGTAACGCGGGGAGAATGGCGCTAGGCTAACCGCACCGTGACATCACTGCTGGAAGATGGCAGGAGGGAGGGGTTACTATATTTGGGCAAAAATGGCCGCTCCCAAACTGAGTAAACGCATTTTATTTTCAACCGATTACCTCTAAATGCATTAAATCACCAGAAACATATTAACTTTAGGTATAAATGACGACCCATTGTTTATTCATTGCTGACTGGATTTCTCCTTTAATAAATGACAAATCATTTATTTGAGAACATAAAAGCTTTTCTTCTTCAGGGAAAGATCGATCATCATTTATCATAAACTTAATTTTAATAAATGTGGAGAGGAAATTAACTGATTTAACCCCTGTAACCCAGATAACATCTCAGGCCAACCAGATCATGCACAGTCCAGCAGTGCCACCTAGTGGTCCAATCTGCATCCTGCACTGGTTCCCAGTAATGTTCTTTCACTCAATTCAAGAGCCACATTAGTTTAGACATTTCTAAGCGCTGCTCCATGTGTTTCATCCAGCATTGCGCAATAAGTAAACCTTTCTGTTGTGGTTCCAACTCATCCTGCAGCCCTTTGGTTCTAGTCAGAGCAGACCGGGTTGGGTCGACTGATTCCTGATCTTAGCTCTCCTTGCATTCAACCAGCAAACATGTTGCTGCAGTAGCTTTAATTTTTTTCTTTTTTTCCCCCCTGGCATGAAGCCAAAAAATACGGCTGCCAGTTAAACGCTGGCAGTGAATCAGCAGAGGAACCGCTGGAATGAAAAAGCCCTGGAGCTATGAGAAAAAAAAAAAGAAGCAGCTATAACCCAGGCTGCTCATCAAACTTAAAACTGTCTGCATCTTAATAACACCTTGTGATTCTGGACGCCTACTAACCTGCCGCAGATCCGGCGAACCAGCAGGGAGTCGTCGACAGAAAACTCGATCACAGAGTCCAGCTTCTCGTCCCTTTTGTCCAACAAGCCATCGAGCTGGAGGGAAAACCATACCGGACATGTTTAGACGTCTTTACAGCCTCCAAACTTTTCCAACTTCTAAAGTTCAGTTCTTAGAGCAAATTTAACCAGAGAGGAAGGATGCTGCAATTAGTGACGAATAAAAAGATTTAATGTTAGTATTTAGGTAAATAAAATCAACATGTTATTAAGTTATCAATGTGTTGTCTATTGTTCTATGACTGAAGTTTACACCCATGAGATTAATACAGATGTGTAGACTAAAGTTTACATCTACATGTAAAAAAAAAAAAAAAGTATATAAAGAAAAAGAAATACATTTTCATATATCAGAAATAAATAGAGTGATAAATTTCATACTCCTCACATATTTACATCTAGAAATAAAGTAAAAATGTTATATTTCCTCATCTTCTCAGAAAGGAATCTGGAGAATTAAACTAAAGAGATTTTATCAAAATTTCCATTTTGTCTTTTGTCGCCATTTAAGTCTTAAACGGAAAATATCTAGAATTTGGTTGGAAAATAATGCTTAATGTTTGGCAAAGAAGTATAAAAACAACAGAAAATTTTTGATAAAGATGCCGAACAAACTTTATCTTGTCAACAATTTAAATTAAATTGAATTCATTTCAAGTAAAGATGCAGCAGGGAGGCCTTTGAGATGTAGCTTATAAAAAGAAAAACAAATTATTACACTGAGGGACAAATTTTCGTAAATATCAAAAATTAACTCAGATTTCCCAAAACCTGACAAATATCAAAATCGATCAGGAATAAATTAACTTTCTAACCATCTCTGCTTGTTTCACGGTCCGAGGAAACCCGTCCAACAGGAAACCGTTCCTGCAGGCGGGCGTGTCCAAGTTTTTCTCTATGAGCTCAACGACCATCTCATCGCTGACCTGCAAACAAAAAAATCTTCAGCTTATTAAGAATGATTCAGCTTTATACACACAGTAGAGACTTGGTGCTGGGACCATTGCAACCAGTCACTATTTACCAAAGGAACAGATGTGGGAGAAATATTCAGGGTTCACACCAGGAGTGTTTTTTTTCTTTGTTAATCTTATTGTAGCAACAAGAACCTGGATAATAAAGTCCTACGTTTCCCGCCGGTGTAGAGGTGGACTAGTAAACGGTAAATAATATCGATGAAAGGGTTCAGCCCAAAGTAATTAGCAGCACACATCAGGGATCGCATGGACCGATTAAATAAAAATCAGTATCGGGCTTGATAAAAATTTTGTTTGGTTGATCTCTACACCAGTGTGTAACTCGATTCTACCTCTGTCTAATTATAAAGCATATTAAGATAGAAGAGATGCAGAAGGAAATACATCATACATAGTTAAATGATTTACTATTTACCTGGATTACACTACAGGTAAACCGATAAATCAACCGGCGGATAATGGCATTTCTGCCGTGTATCGGCCTACACATGCATGCCTCATAACTTACACAAAACATACTCATAACTTATCCAACAGAAGGGCGTTTTTGCCAGATTTTTAATACGTCAGGCATATGCTGGTCTAAATCCTCAAGGTGTAACAGTGGCTTTAAGCTCTGAACTGATTCAAAATGATCTAGCCTACTTTTTCAGTGCCATTTTATTTGTGCAGGTAAAAATATTGTTTGTGCTGATTTGTTTTTTTTAAGCAGCAAGCGTTAGTGCTGCGCTCATTTCCTGATATAAAATTATTGCATAACATCACATCTCATTCCTCCGCTCTATTGAATATAACAGTGGGAATTTTTTACCTCATTTAGTGGCTGGAATGATTGTTTAATATTTACTTAATCACCAGCCTTCCAGCCCTCTGCTTTTAACTTGCCGTTACCCCGGGAACCCATTTTATTTTCTGTAAAGGTCTTGCTGTCCATCTGCATTTCACAATAAAAGCACAGGTGAAACTTATCACTGTCTGCTGTTAAATTGCTCTCTACGAACAACGTTTTAATCACCTTTGGGAGACCATCATTTTTTTTTTGGAAAAGCACAAAACCTCTGACAAAAAAAAAAAAAATCCAGACCCTTCATTGCACGGTTTGTATAGGGATTCTATGTGAATCCACAGCACTCTGCATTGCCACCGCCTCCAGTGTGAAAATATCAGCATAACTCCAATGTAAGTTTCAGCCTAGATGTTAGTAAAAGGACTATCTCTATACAGGTGCTGGTCATAAAATTAGAATATCATGAAAAAGTAGATTGATTTCAGTAATTCCATTTAAAAAGTGAAACTTGTATATTATATTCATACATTACATACAAACTCATATATTTCAGATGTTTATTTTGTTTAATTTTGATGATTACAAATGACAACAAATGAAAATCTCAAATTCATCATATCAGAAAATTAGAATATTGTGAAAAGGTTCAAAATTGATGGCCCCTGGTGCCACACTCTAATCAGCTAATTAACTCAAACCACCTGCAAAAGCCTTTAAATGGTCTTTCAGTCTAGTTCTATAGGCTACACAATCATGGGGAAGACTGCTGACTTGACAGTTGTCCAAAAGACGACCATCGACACCTTGCACAAGGAGGGCAAGACACAAAAGGTCATCGCTAAAGAGGCTGGCTGTTCACAGAGCTCAGTGTCCAAGCACATTAATAGAGAGGCGAAGGGAAGGAAAAGATGTGGTCGAAAAAAGTGTACAAGCAAGAGAGATAACCGCACCCTGGAGAGGATTGTGAAACAAAACCCATTCAAAAATGTGGGGGAGATTCACAAAGAGTGGACTGCAGCTGGAGTGAGTGCTTCAAGAACCACCACACACAGACGTATGAAAGACATGGGTTTCTGCTGTCGCATTCCTTGTGTCAAGCCACTCTTGAACCACAGACAGCGTCAGAAGCGTCTTGCCTGGGCTAAAGAGAAACAGGACTGGACTGCTGGTGAGTGGTCCAAAGTCATGTTCTCTGATGAAAGTAAATTTTGCATTTCCTTTGGAAATCAAGGTCCCAGAGTCTGGAGGAAAAGAAGAGAGGCACTTCATCCACGTTGCTTGAAGTCCAGTGTAAAGTTTCCACAGTCAGTGATGGTTTGGGGTGCCATGTCATCTGCTGGTGTTGGTCCATTGTGTTTTCTGAGGTCCAGGGTCAACGCAGCCACATACCAGGAAGTTTTAGAGCACTTCATGCTTCCTGCAGCTGACCAACTTTTTGGAGATGCAGATTTCATTTTCCAACAGGACTTGGCACCTGCACACAGTGCCAAAGCTACCAGTACCTGGTTGAAGGACCATGGTATCCCTGTTCTTAATTGGCCAGCAAACTCTCCTGACCTTAACCCCATAGAAAATCTATGGGGTATTGTGAAGAAGAAGATGCAATACACCAGACCCAACAATTCAGAAGAGCTAAAAGCCACTATTAGAGCAACCTGGGCTATCATAACGCCTGAGCAGTGCCACAGACTGATCGACTCCATGCCACGCCGCATTGCTGCAGTAATACAGGCCAAAGGAGGCCCAACTAAATACTGAGTGCCTTACATGCTCATACTTTTCATGTTCATACTTTTCAGTTGGCCAACATTTCTATAAATCCTTTGTTTTTATTGGTCTTCAGTAATATTCTAATTTTCTGATATGATGAATTTGAGATTTTCATTTGTTGTCATTTGTAATCATCAAAATTAAACAAAATAAACATCTGAAATATATGAGTTTGTATGTAATGTATGAATATAATATACAAGTTTCACTTTTTAAATGGAATTACTGAAATCAATCTACTTTTTCATGATATTCTAATTTTATGACCAGCACCTGTAGTTATGCTGGCTTAGACTGCTGGAGGACATAGAGACGCTCATTTCATCATTCTGCTTCATTCTATCTCTATTCTCCCACTCTGCAGAATCTGTTAGTTCAATCTCTAACGTTCTGCTTTTTCTCATAGCAGCTTCATCTGGTCTGTTCCTGTTTGGCTGTGACTCCATCCTGGAGAGAAATATCAGCTGTGCTGCTGCCATCAACACCTTTGTTTCTAGATGTTGGAGGTCTGCCTGTTTTCCAGTGTAGTCCTGTTTCTCTGACCGTGACTGGCTGGATGTGCTCTCTTCATCCTCTGGCATGGGAGCTGGCTCAGAGCTCATCTGCCTGGCTGTGTGTTACCTAGACGGGGCCGCCTTTTACAACTGTTTTTTGTATCTCTGCTTCTGTCTCCTTGAACCCCAGTCGGCCTCAGCAGATGGCCGCTCACACTGAGCCTGGTTCTGCTGGAGGTTTCTTCCTGTTAAAAGGGAGTTTTTCCTCTCCACTGTCGCCACAAGCATGCTTAGTGTGAGGGATTGCTGAAGAGTCAAGGAGTCGATGCAATCAGCTGGTTTTCCTTATATAGAAAACTTTGAATCAATTTGACTGGATGATCTGGTGAACTGTAAAGTGCCTCGAGATGACATGTGTTGTGAATTGGCGCTATAGAAATAAACTGAATTGAAACTTAATTCTCAACACACCTATAAAAGGAAACATGTTCAGGCAAAATCAGACATAAGTCTGAAGAAATAAGGTCTTCAATAATATTACGACTGAGCACCTTTATCCTTTTTCTGAAGACCTGTTTTTAGTTTCTGCTCACACAGCGTTGTTGCAAACCTGTCACTACATGCATGGCTGGTGGGAGTGATTTATAAAAAAGGCAATGACTCGATACAATTAGCTGGGTTTCTTAAAAAACAAACTTTAAACCAGTCTGTGGACGATTTGACTCTCAACTGCTTTCAGATGAGGCATTTTGAATAACTAGGTGTATTAATTGTGCTCCTGATATCCACATTCTGGATTCGATCTGGAGCAGTTGAGATGATGAAAAGCAGAAATGTTTTACCAGTTTGCCGGAGTCCATGGTCTCCTTCAGCCTCCTGCCGAGCTCCGAGCCAGAGGCCACCATGGCTCTCAACATGTCCCCTGTTGCCAGGTGGCAGACGCAGTATTTCTCTGCTAACCGCGGAGCCTGCAGGGACAGCACACATTTTTCCTCATTACAGCTTCAACTAAGCCTGCAGCACATTCAGTGTCTCTATGCTCAGAGATAAAAGGAGCATGTGCATAAATAGAGGTTATAACCATTCATTCATTTGGGAACTAACCAAAGTTAATGGATAGAACTGTAAATGTATAGTCATATTTACTATTTTTCAAGGATGCACTTTAAAAATGATTAAATTGTCCAGAGAGCTGCTTTCAAACGAAATTTCTTTGTTTTTACACCTGTGTAAACAAAATGACAAATAAAATCGGTCTAAAACATAAATACACATGCATATTTATATAGGTGGAAGTCATCCAGGTTCTACATAAAGCTGTGACTGCTTGGTTTCTCCAGCATACAAGTTTAAATATGGTCCTTAATACTTTAAAAAAAAGGTAATTTCATGGTGTCATTTTAACTGTCTGCAACATTAATTTATACTTTTATAGTTTTAGTAAAATGAATTAACTTGAAAGGAACAGAACTTGTTTGGAACTTTTATATAAACACATTATCTTGTATATTAAGATGCAAATAAAAGCCCAAACATAAGCAATATAAAAAATGTTCTTCTTTTTGAACATTATTTTACACAGAAAGAAATAGATAATGCTCTAAAAGAATTTAAACTAAATTTTATTTTTAGATTAATAAAAAGCGCATTCAAACAGCCTTTAAAGTCTGGCGATATCAAGGTTTATTAAAAACTTATTAAATGTATTATCGAGCATGCGCATAAGGGCTCTCTATCTGATGGCTAACAGCTAACATTAGCACTGTTAGCTCGCGCCGAGGTTCACCTGAGTCCCTTTACCGGCTCCGGGAGGTCCGAGTAGGATGGCTCGGATGCCTTCCTGTACATCAGCTATCGCCTCCTTTAACTGGGCGCTGGGGGCCATGACAGCAACGGAGGCAGGGGGGGGGGACACCGAGTAGAAACTTTCCAGAAGTCCTTCGGTGCGGCGGTGCTGTCGCTACAGCCGAGTTAGCCAGAAAGAACGAAACGCCTCCTATTTTTCAATAAGACATCTTAACCCCGCCCACACCGATGATAATGCGGAATTCAATTGGTTTACACTGCAGTCAATCAACCGGTTTCGTACAGGATTGGAGGACGTGTACTAAAACTCCCGGAAGGACCTTTAAAGGAATGCGCAGTATAGTATTACAATACGGGAGGAAGTGGGTTCGATTCCCGGTTGCGTCAGGAAACCTTATCCGTCGTTAACAATTTGTCAAATCTATGAGTTTTACTGATTTGCTCTCCCAAAATAATTCTCCTATATGCATTCTTAAATTCTATTCTTAAATTCAATATATAATTCTTAATTTTATTGTAGGACCTTGATGAAAAGATCAAAAGAAAACGTTTTAAAATAAAAACAATTACAACAATAATAAATAATAATAGCGAATGACTGAGAAAAAAGAAGAAAAAGAGCGTAAAGGGTTATATTTTCATATTTACACTTCCAGGATGTGTTATTCGTGAATATTTGATAAATTATCATTGATACCATAGCCTTTTCATCTTAATATTCTTAATAATTCAGCTAATTTTATTACAGTTGATTAAATAATTAGCGGTGGCAAAGAGAAATCGATGTAATTTAAAGTATACGCATATATGATAATAATCTAATAAAACATTCTGAATGTAATGAACAATTTATTTAATCAGTCGCAAGTAATTACATTTTTGAATATTTTTTTTAAATATTTGAATTTCTATGACGACTTAAAAGGTTTATTTGTAAACATGAAAAATAAATAATTTTACGCTGCACTGTTTGATAATTTATTTAAGTATATGACAATGTCAATGTCAATATAGTTCCACTAGAGGTCAGTGCAGGTACTAAATTCTATACAGAAGACACCTTTTGGTAGCTTATACAGAAACTAAAACCTTATAAATTTATTTATTAAGTTTTAAAAAGCATAATGACTAAAAATACTTAATGCACACTGTTTTAAAGGTGCATTATGCAATGATTTTGTCTACAAGTTCCTGTTTGGTTGTAACACATAACCTTAAAGCAGGTGAGGTTAAAGGGGCTGGAACTAACTAAAAAAAAAAAAAAAATAGAAGAAGAAAAAAAAAAAAGAAACTACAGATGCACTGATCTAGATCAGTAAGGGCTGAAAAAAGAAATGCAATGTAATAAAATGCTGGCATTTACAGGAGAATAACTAACCAAACAGACAATAGGGATACAAAAAAAAAAAAAAAAAAAAAATACACAAAAGGAGAGTTAAAATAATGACTAAAGACATTAAGTGATTGAACGCAGAAATATTAAACAAACAGACTGAGGAACTTTCTTTAAAAATATGACACACATTACTCAAGAAACCACCACCGACAGAAAGCAGTCAAATCAAAATTTTACAAACAAAAGCCATTCTAAATAAAACCAGCATACATACACTGGTATCTTTGGTCTCCCAGAGCAACATAGTCAATACTCTGCAAGAGAGTTGGAAGTGATAGCTTTTACCTCTTTTATATTAAATCCCCACCTTCTCTTTAACTGGAAATCAACTATAGTCCCATCCAGCACAAACTGGATAAATGTGGTCATGTCCATCCTGAAAGCGGAGAAAATTACATACACATTAACTGGAAACTTGAACAAATTCTACTCTAAATGGTAACCGTTTATTGACTTTGTTGCGTCAATGTAGAACTGTAAACCCCCCCACCCCCCACGCACCCAGCTTTTTTTGTTTTCTTCTCCCTGAGGTATACTGGGTTTTTTTTATTACTAACTTTCTTCCATTATGTTTTACTATTGTAGTTGCTCTGTATATATGTTCTTTGTTCTTGAAAGCGTTTATCTTACAGTTAATGCTATAAACCAGGGATGTCGGGGTCTTATACTCCGAGGACGAGGGAAGCAAGTTCACCGTAGACCGAGGGCCGGACTGGTTCTGTGTTTGCTGAAACATATTGATATAATACATTTATAGGTCTGGGATAAGGCCAGGTCAATAGTGATATGAAAACAAACATTATAATTTCGTATTGTTTTCAAGTTTTGGTTCTAAAACATCGAGCCTGTTTACTAGTTCTACTTGATCTGAATCAGTAGTACCACTGAAACATAGAACAGGTCAGAGTAATTTTGTGCAGTTCAGCTTCATAATCTATTTTATTAATTGTATCATACTTGTTACTGTCACAGTCTTGGTTCTGTTATGTTTTCTTTTGAGTATTAAGTTTTACTTTGCTCCATGTTTTCTAGTTTTAGTGGTTTAATTTTTATTTGGCTGTGTTGTCTGTTTATTTTTTTCAGTTTTCAGGTTTTTATTTTTTGCCCTCTGCTGCCCTCTTGTGTTCTCCTTTTTCCCTAGCTCCTTTCCTGTCTGCTCTGTTCACACCTGCTCCCAATCTGCTCGTTAGTCCTCTCTTTGTCCTGTCTCCCATAAATACGCTCTTTATGCACTTCCTCAGTGGCTGGTTCCTAATTTCCTCCAATTCCGTCTCACTGAGTCTTCTTCCTTGTGATTGTTTTCCCCCAGATGTCTCCATGGTTTCTGGTTTGTTTGACTTTGTTTTCATGTTTGATTTTTGGATTCCTGCCTTAGCTGTCTGTTTACCTTCATTAAATCAACAAGAAACTCACCTCTGCCTCCCTGCCTCTGCATTTAGGTCCTCACACCACAATTAAATCCTGACAGTTACAGTGTTCATATAATTGGGCATTTTTACGTTTATTAATGTCTTTTATCTTCTGTCTAGGAACTGCAGGTGAAAATGTAACCTTATCTACAGTAATGCTAATAGTATTTATTGTCCCTGTAATAAAAAAAAAAAAAAATACAGCATACATGGGGTTTGATAGCTTCACAGTCAGAGGACCAGTATTGGATAGAGATGGACGACGACACACACGTGTCACCCTGCTATGAAGTCATTAATAGCATTAATGAAACTGACCTCAGACAAATCCCAATCGAAACTCTATCAACCCTCTACAAGTACTTTTAATGAAGCATCACCAATTTCCTATAATCCTCTAGCCTCGTGAGACCATCCTGATCTCGCAAGCTTTCAAGATTTCACTCGCTAATCAGTCTGGCTACTCCGTTGAAGAAAATTTGGAGCCATTCACCAAACGAACGTCCAATCAGCGTTGGCTTTGAGGCGGGTTGAGGTGTGACGCAACGAGAAGCGCGACAGTTCAGTCTAAAGAACATGGCGGCTTCAGCCGATGAAACTAGCGTTAGCGTGGCTATCGAGCAAGTTTTATTGGAATTACAGAGTATTTCTTCACTGAAAGCAGAGCAAAACACTGCTCTGGAGGCTTTTCTCAGAGGAAAAGATGTTTTTGCTCTTCTCCCGACTGGTTTCGGCAAGAGTTTGATCTATCAATTGGCTCCTCTTCGTCGTCGCTCTGTTAGTACGTCATATGCTTCGTTGATCTGATTGGTTTATTTGGCCCCTCTATCACCAACATAGGCCAATCAGCTAACCAGTATTTTCGCCCCTTCCCAAAATTAGTTCTACAGAAGGTTTCCAGATGGATATGCGGAGCAAATCCATCTGGCGGAGTCAGGTTAATAATCCTCACCTACTGCTCTTTAGGGCTCGTTCATGTCCAACCTGACAACTCTCCTTTTCTCTCACTCTTTGCCTCCCCTCTGGTGCCCAAATGCTCTACATGGGAAGAAAATTATTTCCACACATGTCACTAGTCTGCTTCTCTGCCAATTAGATCTATCTCAGATCCTTCCTTAAGAGTGCAGATTATATTTATGTATACAGTTTATTTGGTCAACCTATGTGATCAGAAAGCAAAAATGTCCTTTCACTTCTTAAAGAGAACACAAAAGGGAAAAAAATGAAATAAAAATATATTAAATCAAAACCAGCTACAAATTGCATTTGGTCTTTGTCATGTTTCTGCCCTCTAATAAAGTGAAGGATACAATGATGGATAGATCGATACAGTAAGTTTGATTATAACTGTGGGACTGAAGACACCCCCTCCTGCCTCTAAACCACACTAACATCTACCGAGACTCTTTCAGGTCTTAGTTCTGTTTAATTCTAAGAGACGACCGGGAACAATGTGGAAATAAGTTCAACATTATCATTTAACGCTTAACTGAGAGCAGACAGGAAGTTAGATTGTAACTGCATCACAATATAATAACTGTTTATGATGGGAATTTTTGTACAAGTCCAAGTACACCTTCCTTTTTCAAAAAAAACAAAACAAAACAAAACAATTTATATCTACAAGAAAAATAAACATTTCGCTTTTTACATTTCTATACTGAAATGTCTTTTATTGAACCATAGTAAGTTCCTTGTTTAATTGCAGAAATTTGCTGCTAATTCTTTTTTCCCCCTGATGTTCCTGTAAAGATCTAGAAAGGAGAAGTGGTGAAGAAAGACAGCAGGTATGAAACACATTTTATTACATCAAGAAGTTATTTTTTATTAACTTAGCAGGAAAAAGTCGTTGCCATCAGCTTCTTCCAGTAAAGACATGGAAAATGATGAACAAGCTCCACTGGGAAAACTAAGCACAGGATGACAATGCGTTGCCTCCTCTGCACTCTAACAACAGATTGATCAATACAACCCAAAAATCTGGTTGGTAGTTATGTGTCCAATCAATCCTTTGGTTAAAATTAAGGGGAAACCAATACAAATAGGTTACTTTAACCAAAGTATTGGTTAAGTATAGCAACTTTGCCAGCCAATGCCAGGCTTAAACCAACAATCCTTTGAAGGGCAAAACTTCTACATCCAACATCACTGTCAAGCCTAACATCCCTTGGAATTTAATACTACTTGATCTAATGTTAAAACCGGGGTTAATGCAAATATTTGGATGCAATATATGTAAACATCGCTGTAATTGCTCTCTAGGTGCATAACTATTGAACGTTGCACTTGACTAAAGCCAAACAGTCAAATTCATAAACCATCTGTTGCCCTTTTTATTGGTTGTTCCGTTAACTAAATAAATTGATTGATCTGAAACCAATGGCTTGGTCAGTCCCTGAGTATTATCAATGTTGATTTAATTATTGGATAATCTAACCAACATTGGTTTAACCAACTAGATTGGTTGTTTTTCCAACCAATCTGTTCTTAGCGTGTATACAGGTAGTTTTTTCTGATTTTACAAAAGGTAAATGTCATGTTGGGTTCAAGGCATCTAACCCACATGCAGAAAACACTCAAGAACACAGGGGAAAAGTTAAATGATTTATTTAAACAAAGTTCACAGAGTAATGATGCACAGGTTCTGGGTTCTTCGAACTGGTCACGGGAGGGACACGACTGAGGAGGACAGAGCGGTTAGTATTGATCCAGGAAAGTTGAAGTTTACAGATGACAGGGTAAAATACCTGCTCAGAGATGGATCTGATCAGCAGGGGGGAAACCTTGAGTGTCCAAAGGCAAGTCGGCAGGCAGAGGGCTGAGGGCAGAGGCAGAGACTGAAACAGAGTGCAGGCAGGCAGATTCCAGGCAGAGATTTCAATCTCCAGGATTTCAGGTTTTCAGACAAGTGAGGATCTATGAGGCAGAGAGAAACAGGGTCAGACAGGTTCTCAAAATCAGGGTTTCAGATAAGCAGGCTGGCTCAGGATTTGCTAACCATTACTGGCAAACACTCTGGCTGGGAAGTGTCAGCCTCCTCCTCCTTAAATAGGTGCTCTGTTGAGGAGACAGGAAACAGGTGTATAGGAGTGAGCTCACGCCCTCAGGAGGAAGATCTCAGGCGCCCTCTGGTGGAGAATGTGGACAAGTCTCCAGATCCCAACAGTAAAATTAGTAGAGATTTTTTTTTATGCTGTTTTATTTATCTTAAAAAGAATAAATAAACTGATTTAGCCACAGCATAATTTGGCATTAACCCTATATTTGTACTAATCTATTCTGTAGACCCAGAACCGAAACCAAACATGTGGAAGCAGCTTCTAGTTCTTACGCTCCAATAATACAGAATTAACTCTCAGAAAACTGTATATAAGCTATAAACCTTAATTGCCTGAATTTTTTATTAAAAGTAATTAAAGTAAAGAGAAAGCATACAAAATTGTAATAAAACTTTCATTACCAAAAAAGATATTCTGTATTCTGTGCTGTTTACTTGGTAGTTCAAGGTTATAAAATGCTAAAAAACCTAAAAAAACAAACTCTTTCTAGAAAATGGATTAATTAAAAAAATCTTTTATTTACCATGTTTTTGTTGTATATTGAGAAAAGAGGTGGAAAATAAGAATGTTAAAAGGCGTTAATGTTATAGTGCAGTGAAAAATATAAATCTATAAAACGTATTTGAGCCACAAGCGTGAATATAAATGATTTCCCGATTACATTTCAGGTACCTTAACATTTGTTTTTGACTATTTAAAGGGTTCCCATAGTAACAAAATGAGGAGAAAATATCTTCTATTAAGTATGATTGAAATAAAACACTATTTTTGTCGTACTTCAGCACTAAACTGGCCGTTCAATGAGCAGACACTTATTTGACTTGTGATCCCTGATTTAAAAGGAAATATAAAATAATGGAAATGGGTTCTCTGACATTAACTGAAAACATAAACACTATTGTTAATCTTTCTGATAAATAAAGGGACTTAAATTAACAAAATTTTCTACACGGAAAAGAATCGTTTAAAAAAAAAATAACATTGCCCCTTTCTGTTGGTGTTTTTGACCTTTAATATGTTTAGAAATAGAGAAGCTAATGTTAGATAATCATCTAACCTTTTGTGTTTACTTAATTTCTCTTAAAAATATCCAACTGTTTTACTTGTTAATGTAACACTTGGGCTTGGCTGACTGCAAAATGATCTCAGAAGTAGATTCGGCTACAGAGTCAAGGGGTGTGAATAAGCACAACGAAGAAAATTATGATTGATAGTTGTATATTTATTTTTTAATAGAAAGAGTATTGGTGACATATACATGTTAATGAGCTATATTATATGATTTATATGGATATGAATTAATAGAATATACACACAAATTAGATGATAAACATAATTTCAGAGGAAAAAAAACAAAACAAAAAAAACAAATATATTCCAACAGGATAATTCAAAAGAGCAAAAAAAAAAAAAAAAAAAATGAAACAGTTCATGAGGTCCATTGGGAAACCAAAATCAGAGGATCCAGGTTTGTCAGAACTTTTTCCTACCACACTGTATTGGTGGTTCTCTGGCAGCTCGCCACCCAATGGAGAGTCAAAGGAACAGCACACAACAAAAAACCTGACCTGAAATCAGGCCAGAATCTTAAATTAGTAAAACAACAATAAATTTAATCTAAGCAATAAATAAATAAAATAGTCAGTTACTTATGCCTTCTGCCAGTTGTTTGGATGTTCACTAGAGGTGCAATCACTCCCAATTTGTCTTCTACTTTGCTTAGATGTTAGAATTTACGCACCACAAAATAAGCAAAGTTTTAAAAACAAAATATGATTTTCAATTTTATGTTTGAAAATGCGATATTACCGAAATAATATTTGACCATTTTAACTATTTATTCAAATGTATTTAGCATTTTGATTATTTTGTCTGAGGCCCTGCACAGCTGCTCACCTGTGAGGAGAAAACACCTGGTCCATGGAGCAAAGAAAGTCAAATTTTAAGTAAAACTTTAACAGATATTTTTGTGTAAAAATCTTAGGTATGAGTGTGAAGGAGTCCCTTCTTAGGGTGTGAATAATTGCCGTCCTTTTCTGCGGTTTTGGATTACTGTCTAGGCATCTGGTTCATGTATTTTGGTGAAATGAGCTGTGGATAAAACCAGTTTTAGTCCTATGTCATCAAATACTATTAATGTTGTTATTATATATTAGTAAAATTAATTTTTTGTTACCTTAAGATGGTTTCCCTTTAGTGCTATGCTATATGTAAATGAATAAAGACCTGCAGATACCAACATTTTCTGCCTTTACTTTCATCTCTACTATAAATCCAACCAGAAAACACTTGACTTAAAGCACCATGTTTTCTAATTGAAATCAAACATAAATCAGCTTTAGAGGAATTTGAATTTCCAACGGGTCTAATATAAAAAGTATAAAATATGAATCAGTTAGGAAACTTTAATGAATCTTCCATAGCATAATGCATAGCTGTGGGTTTGCATCCAAACCCTTTTATGAGGTGGATCTCTTCCCCTTTTAATGTCATATGGCCCTGGTCCATTAGAAAGGATTTTATATTACGTTGTGATAAGAGGTACGACATTTTTCAGGTTAAATTGATATGAAAAGATTTCGATTTAAACACAAATTTAATACAGAATGTTTCAGTCTAAAGCCCAGGAGGAATACGTCTGTGTCACATCCAAGGCTGTAAAATATATCTATGAATTAGTGCATTAAATGGCTTTATGCTTTGGCTGTTTTACCTCTAAATGTCTCTGCACAGGTCTTTTTTTACCCCCTCCCTTTCTGCAGAAGGTATTTAAAGGCTGACAGCCCCCTCTGAGCTACAGTTCTCCGTCAGATTCACAGCAGGAACATGACAGATGTGGACATAACATTTACTAATGAGAACGCTGAAAAATCTGTGCCGAAAGGTGAGCTCATTTATTACCCTTAAATTGTTTTTCAGTCTGTAATAATTTCCTGAATAATGTTTCATCTCTAAACACCAATGCAACTAATAATGTCTGTGTTCTTCATGTGCAGATGCAGTTTCTCCATCAGATGAAATCACTTACTCGGAAGTCACATTTAAAAAGAAAATACAGCCAGGTTTGGATAAAGACTTACTAAATGTTTTTAAATCTAATCTATGTTTAAACTCATTCTACCTGCTCTAAACATTTAATGTTACAACTTATCCTGCCTCCTATATCTACTTTGTTTGCTATAAGACATCCTGTCTTATTATATTTTAGTTATTTAAACATTTTCTTAAACATTTTGTCTGAATAACAAAAAAAGATAATAGAACAGAGTCACACAGGCTAACAAGAAGGGAACTGTTTTACATATGTTGATATGTATAAAAGAGGTAGTTTGATGAGGAAGAAACTTAGCAGAAGTGTTTTAAATATAATGACCTCTAATATATGAATTCCTCAGTGTAAAATAACAGTAATTATTAAAAACTTCCTTTTATTTGGCCTGAAAACTATTTTACAGTTATGAGAACCTGAAAAACTTTGTGTGAACTTTGGGGAGAATAATTCCATCAGCTCAGAAAATCAAGGTAGTTTACTTTTTGTCTTTACTTATACCTTTAAATATGGGTTATGTCAACAGGTGTGATTTCTTCTAATGTTCATGCTTCTTTGGGAACTGCAGCAAAAAAAACTTTTGAAGTTTGAGTTAGAGGCTTTAGATGTTTAATTTTAGCAACACAAATGCTGCTAAATGAAATTATTTTATACTTTCTTTGCAATAACAATAACGTAGTGTTTTGTAGTATGCAGATCTTTGTTTGATAGGGTTTGAGATTAATCTTAAGCCAGAGTAACATTTAATTAAGTTGTCACAGAAGAGTCCATTATATTTTGATCTTGTCATGATGGGTTTTAAGGATCTGACCCACATGCAAAGACACACTCAGAAGCCAAGGGTAAAAGTTAACAGATTTATTTTGGATTGCAAAAACACAGACTGAGAGATGTACAGCTGGGTAACTCTAGTGGACCTCAGCGGAACCGGAAACTCTGAAGGGGAGATCACAATGATCCGTTCAGGGAACGTAGGAAAAAAGACTGAGGCTTGTAATTTGCAGGAGAGGCACTCACGTTTGGGGGGCTCTTGGTTATTCTTTGGATCCAGTTTGTGGGGTTTTATCCAGAAATGAAAGAACTTGTTGGAAGGCGGACAGGCAGACTGACGTTGGATCCAGAGGAGTATTGGTGTGGACTGTCACCGGGTTTTCCAGCCCACTGCTTAAATACTCCTCTGGTAATGACCCAATGAGCCGCAGGTGTGCAGGGAGGCCCAACGAGGACAGGGCACCACCTGGTGGTGGAAAGAGGAAAACACAAACTGGAATCCTAACAGATCTATAATGCTAAACATGTGTTGTTTTGCAAATATTTCCTACTGGGTTAATTCGGGTTTGTTTAATAAAGCTGATTTGTTAAGTCGGAGCTTGAATCAAGAATTCCCTATAAAGCTGTTTGCATGTGGCTGATTTCGAACACTCAGGAAAGAATTATTTTGAATCGTGAAATTAAATCTCACGATTGAAAATAATAAATATGTAGTTTCAGATGTCTTTTTTTATTTTTCCTCTTTAACTGCAAAGCTGTTTTCCAGGGATTTAGTGGTTATTTTAATAGGCTTCTTTCAGCTTCTTATATAAATAATTTTAGCCTCTGATGAATAGTGAGGAGGAAGCCACCTGTTGAGCTCTTTATAAAGGAAATAAAACTGTAGAAATTAAGCCAGGCTGAAGTTGCTTTATTCATAAATGTCGAACATGTATGCAGTGTCATGAAGCAGAACAGAAGGATCCAAGAGTTTATTAAAAACAAAAGATAACAAGCGGAGCTGTGGATCTGCTGTGGCTGCAGGGGGAGGGGGTTCACCACTCATCACTGGCAACTCTGGTTTATCAGTTCAGTCCATCTCCTAGTGACGCAGTGGGATCCAGTCAGAGGGCTGCCAACTAGCTGCAGCAGGCACCGCCCTGAGTTTCCCAGATGCTGCAGTCCCAGAAGGCAAGCAGGAGTCCGAGCCAGGTCAGGGAAACAGTTCAGAACAGCTAGGCTCAGAGATCCAGGAGTCCGTAGCCCAGTCAGGGGTTCCCATCAGACTTTGTTACCTTACTTAAGTAGAAATTTCGGCCATCTATACTGGAGTAACTTTTTTGTAGACAACCCTTCTAGATCAGGTGAGTAGCTCAGTTACCAGGGAGGAGCTCGGAGTCGTTGCTCCTCCACATCGAAAGGAGCCAGTTGAGGTGGCTCGGGCATCTGTTCCAGATGCCTCTTGGTCGCCTCCCTCAGGAGGTGTTCCAGGTAGGTCCCATTGGGAGGAGGCCTTGTGGAAGGCCCAGGACACGCTGGTGGGACTATGTCTCTGAGCTGGCCTGGTGTCGCCTCGGGGGCCCCCAGAGCAGCTGGAGGCTTGGTGTGGATCAGGAAGTCTGGCCATCGCTGCTTAGACTGCTGCCCCGTGACCCAGCCCCAGATAAAGAGGAAGAAAATGGATGGATGGACAGAAAATCTATACATCCTAAAAATATTTTAAAGTTTTTTTTTATACATTTGAGCTCCTTCTCCTTAAGGCCTGTTAGTCTAAATATGCAAAAAAAACATCAAAATAATTTTTTTCATCCAGACATTTAATTTCTTTGTGGTTGGACTCTGTGCTGCACCACCTTGTTGTTTCCCACATACCAAAATAAATCGTTTTTCAAGATGATGCAAAGTTAAATTTGACACTACTACCATTAGTTGTAAAATTAAGGAAATGAAGTCTAAGGATTATTCAGAATTTTAGAAAAATTTTCCTTTAATAGGGTAATGCAGTAAAGCTTGTTTTCTGCATTACTTTTTCTTTTATACTTTAAGTAGTTTTAGAAATGGTACTTTTATACTTTTACTTGAGTAGAAAGCTGAAGTTGATCCTGTAACTTTTGCAATTGTTTTTAAACAGTAGGACTTCTGCTTCTACTTGAGTAATAAACATGAATACTTTTGACACCTCTGCTTTTGATGCATACTGAGATGTCAGTCTGTTTACATGACTTATTTTCCTTATGCTTTGTTCTGATGTAAAATGACTTCTAATATGAAACTTGCTGAAACTTTTCTCCAATATTTTTCTCATACTTAATTATCATGTAGCAGACAATAATAATATGACCAGACGCAGTAACTTACAGTTGTCTCATTCTGTCCTCACTGTTCAGCCAATGTTCAACAAGCTGGAAGGACCAGGAAGTCCAAGGTTTCTCCAGAGCAGCTGGTCCTGCTGGTCATCATCTCTCTCTTGGCAGCTGCTGTTTTTGCTTTGGGAGTTAGTGAGTTCAACCGTTTTCAAACTTTTCAAAACATGAAGAGAAATTAAACAAGTAGGTTTTACGTTAAATGAATGTCAGTTAGTGGTTAGTTACTATAAAAGCTTTCATAATGATACAAGTAATACACCTTTACTTGTGTAGCACTTTACGTTAACCATTTTATTAACCAAGGTGCTTTACTGAAGTTAAAAAGACACATATATAGAATGAATTAAAGCAGTGCTAGGATAAAACACATAATAAAAAACAGGCAAAATAGAAAAAAAAAAAATATATATATATATATATATATATATATATATATATATATATATATATATATATATATATATATATATATATATATATATATATATATATATATACACTACCGATCAAAATTAAGACCAGTCCAAAAATTGCAAGAATTTGCATTTTGCACTATTGGATCTAAAGAAGGTTCAAAGTAGAGCTTCTCAATGCTAAAGGAAAAAATCAGTGCAAGAGACAAAAACTTTTGAGCAGGGAATTTTCTGAAAACTGCATTTACACTCAAACATAATTTTTTCAGCTGATCAAAAGTTTAAGACCAAAGTCTTTAAAAGCCAAAAGCTGTGCAAAAATCTGGATTCCATGTCATTTTCTTTCAAGTCTTTACACTATCAAGACCTCCTGATGGCAAAAGCAAAAAAGCTCGCTGACTTTGAACGTGGTAGGATTGTTGAGCTGCATAAGCAAGGCCTCTCACAACGTGCGATCGCTGCTGAGGTTGAACGCAGTAAGACAGTTATTTTGCATTTTTTAAATGATCCTGAGGGATACGGAACAAAAAAGTCAAGTGGTAGACCCAAAAAAATCACCAGCTCTGAGCCGCAGGATCCGATTGGCTGTCAGTCAAGACGCAGGACAATCCTCTAACCAAATTAAGGCCATTACTGGTGCTGACTGCAGCCCAATAACCATCAGACAGCATCTTCGAGAGAAGGGCTTCAGAAACAAAAAAAAGTCTTCAAAGGCCACGTCTTCTTCAGCGCCACAAAATTGTTCCTTTGGACTTTGCAAGGGTGCACCAAACATGGGACATTGAAAGGTGGAAGAAAGTTGTCTTCTCTGATGAGAAAAAATTTAACCTTGATGGTCCTGATGGCTTCCAACGTTACTGGCATGACAAGGAGATCCCACCTGAGATGTTTTCTACACGACACAGTGGTGGGGGCGCCATCATGATTTGGGGTGCGTTTTCCTTCAATGGAACAATGGAGCTTCAGGTTGTGCAGGGGCATCAAACAGCAGCTGTGGAGATGTTGCAGCGGGCATCCCTCATGACTGAGGGCCCTCGTCTGTGTGGTAATGATTGGGTTTTTCAACAGGACAATGCTGCAGTTACAATGCCCGCCTGACAAAGGAGTTCTTCCAAGAAAATCACATCACTCTTTTGGACCATCCTGCATGTTCCCCGGATCTAAACCCAATTGAGAACATTTGGGGATTGATGGCAAGGCAAGTTTACAAAAATGGACATCAGTTCCAGACAGTGGATGCCCTTCGTGAAGCCATCTTCAACACTTGGAGCAATGTTCCCACTAGCCTCGTGGAAACACTGGCATCAAGCATGCCTAAAGGATTGTTTGAAGTCATCAACAAGAATGGTGGAGCTACTCATTAATGAGTCCTTCTTTTGAGACTTTGATTTCTGTTTTGGGGGGGGTTTCGGGGTTTTTTTTTAGCTATGGTCTTAAACTTTTGATCAGCTGAAAAAAAATCATGTTTGAGTGTAAAAGCAGTTTTCAATTAATTCCCCGCTCAAACGTTTTTGTCTTCTACGCTGATTTCTTCTTTTAACATTGTGAAGCTCTACTTAGAACCTTCTTTAGATCCAATAGTGCAAAATGCAAATTCTTGCAATTTTTTGACTGGTCTTAAGATTTTGATCAGGAGCGTATATATACATATATATACATATATATACATACATATACATATATATACATACATACATATACATATATATATATATATATATATTTAGGGCTACTCAGTAGCGCAGTGGATCCACCCTGGACGGGTTCCCAGTCCATCACACACACACACACACACACACACACACACACACACACACACACACACACACACACACACACACACACACACACACACACACACACACACACACACACACACACACACACACACACACACCTAAGAAGGATTTCTTGCTGCAAGGCAGCAGTGCTACCCACTGTCCCACTGAGCAGTCCCAGCAGTGGATCAATTTCTTATTTTTTTAATTTTCATCTTTCATTTTACACAACATTTCCTTTCATAAAGTGTTATTAATTTAGTAGAGTGGTTCAACCGTGAGCCCCACTCTCAGCCTTCGATAATTATAGTTTTCAGTGTCAGAACAGTTGATATCAATCTAACCAATGTAGGGCATCGGTAATAAGAAGGAAAAGTGAGCTGGTTGGTTAAAAGGATGCCTACTTTTCTCCTTTTTGAATTAGGGTTGTTATTAATATCTAATATCATTTTGCATTCAACTAATTCTGTTTTTTTTTTTTTTTTTTGCTTTTATCAGCTGTCTTTTATCTAATGAACAATGAGGTTCTTCACACCCTGAACAAGGAGAATGAAGATCTGAGGAGAAATCTCTCAGGTGGCGGAATCAAACATTTTTATTTGTCAGTAATTGATTTTATGTAATATTACAGAATAAACTAAACACAATGGTTGCGTTGAGGACGCAGCCTGCGAATTAAGACGCAGCTATTGTCTTCTGCTGTCTCCAGAACAAACAAGCTTTTGGTGGAAAATTGTACTTTTGTATTTATCGATTAAACAGAAATGCTTCTGCGCTGCATGGATCCGCCTACATCTCCACCAACAGCAACCTGGCCATCTCATTCCACTTCCCAAACCACAGAACCACTGGTCTCAACATTTCCTCCACCTGTCGCAAAAAGTAAGTCAATGGTATTTGTCTCATTTCTGTCTTCTAATGATGTTATAGAGAAATTGATGGACTGACAGATACAGGAAGTTAGATTGTAGCTGCAGGACAGAAGACACCTCCTGCTGCCTCCAAATCACACAAACATCTACAGAGATTTCTTCCTCCTGACTCAGTGAGATGTTTGTTCTGATCTGTTTATAGATGAAACGTGTCTGAAGTGTGAAGCAGCCTGGGAGCTACATGGAGTGAACTGTTATTATTTCTCTAACAATAACTCCACCTGGAATGAGAGCAGAGATTCCTGCATAGGTCAGGGAGGAGACCTGGTGAAGATCGACAGCAGAGAGGAGCAGGTATGAATCACTGCTGCAGCTTCATGTTCTCACAGATTTTATCATCATCATGGTTCTTCATTTCAGCACAGAAAGTCTCTCAAGTATCTCTACCATCTCCTACTCAGATGTTCCTGGAGAGGAAAATAATAGAGAAAATGACAAATAAGGACGATTCGTTCTGGATTGGACTGACGGACTCAGAGACAGAAGGCAGCTGGGTTTGGGTGGACGGATCTCCACTGAACAAAAGGTCTGATTGTTCTCAGAACATTTGGATCATTTGAAGAGTTTAATTCACTCAGGTTTACTGAACTCTGTCTTTCTGTTCTTCATCTCTTAGTTTGAGTTTTTGGGGAGGAAGCGACCCTGATGGTAAGGGTGGAGGACCAGAATCAGAGGTGGACTGTGTGAGAACATTGAAGATAGGAAACTTTATCAAGTGGTTCGATAGATATTGTAAAGATAGACTGAGAAGGATTTGTGAGAAAACAGCAGAATCTAAGCTGTGTTTGTGTTTCTGAGGTTCGCTCCAGAAAAAAGCCTCTGATCTCTGAACAGAAACACATTTGATCACGCATTTAACATCTTTAAGTTCTTTGACAGAAATAAGAAAAATACAATAATTTGTTCCAACAGTAATAATCAATAAAAGGTAAGTCCAGAAAATGGGCTTGGATCTCTAAACAGACATTTTATGAAGATGACCTTATTATTTATTTAAAGTTCTCCATCAAACATGGTAACAAAATATATTCTTATTTTAACAGATCAATGCTTTTTGATTGGTTTTGTTTTTCTACAGCAGATGTCCTGTAAAATATGTTTCAATCAATCAAGATTTTTCAGCATGACCATAAATCCTCTAATATTGGCCTGTATTCCATTAGCAGCCGGGTCTCTAATCATGGCCTGTCTGGCTGTCGGCGGAGGTAAATACTGGCCGGACTCTTATGCAGGCCGGGGCTATAATTAGAACCAACAATGTTTCTGGTCAGTCCTCAACAACTTGTGATAGTAACATACAAGTACCAGAGGGGTCAATGTTTGCTAACGAATCAGACAGTGCTGCAGACAGGAGGCCGGCTTGTTTTGTTTTTATGACCGAAATTGCGAAAAACAACTCGTAAAGTTTGACCAGCTAGAAGAGCGAGGTGCACAAGAAAACTGGGACCCTTTTCCATCTGGATCTCCGCTCTTTTTGGCCCTCATGTCCCTCAGTTGTCGGACTAAACTCGCCCCCACTTCCTCACTGCCTTGGCCGTATCTATACGCACAGCGTATAGCGCAGACCACGCTTCACTATTCAGCATAAATCAAAAATGTCTGCGTCAAGCTCACTGCAACACACTGCTGTAAGAGTATAACCAGCCACACAATTGTTCTGATCTGAAAGACACTTGATTAACGGTAGGTCTGGTGATAACCAGGCAGCGTTAAAATGACAGAATTTCTTTGGCCTTCGTTGTTCTGAATTTCCCTTGAAATATATGATACTGGTAGCCTACTTCCACTTGACCTGCCTCAAATGAAATTTTGCTGTGATGGCAGAACAGTTTCCAAGTCAGCTTGGCCAGGATTCCATTCTGTATCTTTTTTTTTTTTTTTGTATTGCCGTGCAGAAAAATTGCAGCTGCTGGAAGATGTCTGAATTATGTTCTGTATATCGTTAACTGTACTTTTTCAATAAATTAACCTAGTATTTTATTGGTTCAAAGAGACACAAAATCTAGTTTTTATTCATTCTACTGGTCGTCTGTTTTGATCAAATACAAACAGAGGCCTGCCTCTAATTCTGGCCTCCTTCCAATAATGGCCCTGGACCAAGATGTACCTGAGTGAAATAAAGGCCCCGGCCTATATTAGAGGATTTACGGTAATAGGTTTCCTGTTTTCATTTTAAATATTAAACTTGTAGCTCAATGTTTTGTGATGGTTGAGTTTCAAAAAAAGACTTTGCAAAACTTTGGGCATTTCAATGTACATTATTTCTAAATATATTTTATTTTCTTGATCTGAAAAATATATAATAAATTTATTGCTTTAGACTTTTGTTGAAGTTTCATGAATAAATCAAATGTGAAAGAATGAAAAAAGCAGATTTAGTTAAAACATTCATATAAATAAGAATGACCAATGGAGGGCGACACCTCAGTATCTGTGTATGTTTTAAAATCTTTTTTTAAAACCAAACAACCAAAAAAATATTAATACATTAAAACACATTATTTAAAAGTGTAACATTATAGAAAATAATCAAATGAATCTATATCCTTACATGTTTTGCAAAGGAAGCTCTGAAAACTGCAGATAACTGAGAGTTTTTATTCCAAATGTTACAAAAAGGAGGTATTTATCTACTGTGCTCTCTTCTCAATAAAGAATCACTACCATGTTTCCTCAGGAAAAAAGTGATATTTAGAAAATATGCAGGAAAAGATAAAAAATGTATCATTTTACAGGTATATGTTCTGCTCTTTACTCTTTCCTTTCTGCTCTGTCCAGATGATGGATCGACAAATGCAAACGAAACACAAAATAATATATTCACAATGAAACTAGAAACATGCAGAATGACAATGTTTATTTATAGTCTGTAACATGGGGCTTTGAGGTTAACGCTTTAACGCTGATTAGAAGAAGCGACGAACAGGAAGACACCCAACATCTGCAACCAAGTTAAGAGATAACTTTAATAGCTTCTGTTGCTTAGTTAACATTTTTACATAGTCTACAGGATGAAAAAAAGCTTAAGAAGCTTTTTAACACATTATGAAATCTTATGATAAAGACCAATTTGTTTTATTTTCTATGTTAATTTTGTGTTGTTTTTACTTATAATGTAAATTGTCTCTTAAAGTGTCTCTACTGAGAGGGGATGAATGTGTCATGATTTGACTAAGATCTGACCCAAAAGCAGAAAACCAATACAGGGAAAGGGAAAGTTTTAACAGGTTTATTGAGGAGATTGTGAAGAATCCAGTGTTACCCTGAACACTGCTCAACCGGAACTGGAAAGTGAGGGGAAGACCCTGTGGTTAGTTCAGGCTCAGTCGGAAACTTGATTCTCGAACTTGAAGAGGAGAAATAGATTGCAGATTCAAGTTTCCAGAAGAGTGGTTGACTTTTTGACTCCAGTCGGTGTGGGATGTTCCAGTGTTTGTCTCATTCGATGGAGGGCGGACAGGGTTTACCCAGAATGCGGTTGTTTATAAATGAACGGAGAAAGCTGACTGCCACTTTAGATTTCCTGCGGTACTTGAACAGGGTGTTGTGGAGATGAATCCCTTGCTCAGTGTGAAGCTCAAATGATCCCTTAGGGAAAAGTAGATCCACACCTCCAGTTTAAATCCCTAGCTCAGTTTGAAGCTCAGATGATCCTTCCAGGGAGAGAAGGTCCAAAACATCCAGTCTGCAGGATGACCCCTTGCCGAGAGGCAAAAGACAAAATAACAAGGTTAAAATTTAGTTTGAAAAAAAACTCATTTTGACTCAGCAAAACTCAGCTTGGCTAGAGTACCCAAAACTGGCAAACACTGGCGTCGAGGTAGTGGCAGTCAGCAGCTTAAGAACACTCCGTTAATAAGGTAACCCTTTGCAGGTTTGTGAGGAGGCGAACCAGGAGCAGGCACCGCCTGGTGGAGGAAGGAGGACAAACACACAAAAACACAAACCACACAGACAGGAGTCCTTACAGAATGTCAAAAAAACAAACACACATGACCATGTTAAAAATGTAATACTTATGTCTTTTGTAAGGGACCATGATATAAATGGGATGAAGCCCTTTGAGGCTTTTAACCTCAGACCATTCACGTCTCTGTGTTATCATTTAGTTTCTAATAATCTATTTACATGTTTAATTTGTTTAAATACATTTTTTTCTGTTCAAACTATTCATACCACCCTGCTTCTTTTTTGCAATAGTTGCTAGGCGACATAAGTTATGCTAAGCCATACACAGGAATATCAGCTGATGCCTTATACAAGTCTCAAAAAAGCCGCTAGAACCAACCTGACCACTGGCCATATCTGTTCCACTTGTGTCACAACACCACCTACTTCTAATTTAACCAAGCTTTCTAAAGGCAGAAGCATGGATGAGCTATGGGCTTTCCTGTGTCTCCCATAGGGGTGAACTTATACATAGAAGAAGTGGAAAGCAGAGCTTTATACTCATACACAGGAACAAAATCCAGTCACTGGTTCAGATACGTGGATGACACATGGGTCAAAATAAAGACCATGAAGACATTCACAGATCACATCAACGCATTGGACAGAATCATCAAGTTCACTCAGGAAGATGTGAAAGACAGCTTGGGTTCGTAATCCACCTGAGTGGAATTAGCTGCCAGTGTGGGTCGTTAGGCAAGAAATGCTTCACGCTTATGCCTGCTTTGGTTAGTGGCAGCCGAGTGGTTAGGGCATTGCACTTGGAATCCTGAGGTTCTGAGTTCAAGCCCCACTCCAACGGACTGCAACCCTTGAGCAATACCCTTAACACTGCTCCCTGGGCGCCGCACATTGGTAACCCTCTGCTCAACATGGGGATGGGTTAAATGCGGAGGGTTAATTTTGTTTCTCTGTACTTGTGACAGTTGTTAGGTTTATTCAATGATGATTATAAAATGAGTGTATGTACATATGAAACATTGGAGAAATGAGATGCTTCACTCTGTCTTAGCTCCACTGACTGTCTCAGTCAGTGGAGCATTCTGTCTTATGACCTGATCAGTTGTTCTGTCAGAACAATACTCTGTTTTGTAACCATGTGTTATGTTCTGTTAATAAAAGGCACTGCAGATGGAGGGGGGGCAGAGAGAGAATAGTGTGTCGGGTTGCAGCTCTTTCTCCCCTCCTGCAGGAAGCTGTTGAAAATCCCTTTCTGTGTGTACTCAGTCCTTCTTTTACGAACTTATATTTTTTAACCTAACAACAGTATAATGACAATAAAATGCTGGGGGGAAAAAAGCGAGACCATGCAGAGCTAAAGATTGCTCAACGTGCCATTAAGCTTGCTGGCGAACATGGCATCTTTGTCATAAAGACATAATAGTCAAACATGTCAGACTAATAGGGAAGCAGCCGCCCACTGTGGGATATTAGTGTCAAAATAAAAAAAATAAAAAATAAATAAAATCAACACTTCAAAACTTTTTTTACTTAGAAAGAAAGTTCAGTTCAAACTGGAAAACTCCCCAAATGTTGGGATCCTCAGGCTTGCCCACCAGAGGGCGCCGAGGATCCTCTTCTGTTCTATGTTATTGTCTTTTAGGACTGGAGTTACTGTTGGGATCTGGAGATTACCCTCTGTCTCCAGCAGAGTGCGCCGTGGGTCTCCTAGGGCTGGAGTCTTCCTGCACACCTGTTGTTAATCTACTAATCAGGAGACCTCCCCTTTATAAGCTCCTGCCAGACCTTGCTTCCATGCAGCAGGGTTGATCTTAGTTGGTTAGCTTCCTAAGCCTCTGTTACAGATTGAATCTTAGTTGTCTCTAGTGTGAGATCAGATTCTAATCTCTCCTTTGTCTGTGCCTCACAGGAAACCTGTCTCTGGTCTGAAGCTCAGGAAGAGCTGCCTCACTGGAACCCTGTCTCTGGCCTGAAGCTCTGGGAGAGCTGCATCACAGGAAACCTGTCTCTAGCCTGAAGCTCTAGGAGAGTCTAAACCTGCTAATCTGCCC